CATGAGAACCATATACAAGATAGAAAAACCAAAGTGCGGCCACCTCAAACTTTAATTTTCAAGTTGCATCATTGGCCAAATGACATCCTCACAATGCACCACCAACTGTACTAACCATAGGAAATAAACTGAGGAAACAGAAACATTGTAGAAAGATTAAGACATCAGGTTCATGTGTCCAGCACACAGAATAAGAAGATCAGGTGTTCATGTCTACACCACACATAACCCATAGTCTCACATCCATAATCATGTTTCCTATGCTATACAAAAATACCACCAGCCTTGATTAGGCTTCATAGAGGGTTTGTTATCATCACCATAGTCACATAAAATGGGTTCACCACCTTGGACCCTCGTCCCGAGTTCACAGGTTCATTTTCGACCCGAAGTGTAAAAAACTTTCGTGAGTAGCGTACCACGTACCACGACCCCATACCTCGACCCCATCGACCCAGAAACTTTGTGACTATGATCACCACCAGTGGTTAGTGCTCCACCACAAAAGGAAAGCTACATCATAAGACAGTTAGCATGGCTATTTGCAAAAGTAAGGAGGCCAGATCACATGCACCTAGGCAAAGTAGGTAGTGCTCAGGTAGGTCCTGAGCCACAAGATCCTATGAGCCTCACTCATTTGCACAAAGCACAACCCTTCTACTTTGTTCTTTAGCAGATAGACAAGAGCATACATCAGTGCCTACTGTTCATAACCAGGGCAACTCATCACACAGCCATAGAGATCCTCATGGACCTCATTATGCTGAGGAGCCTTCAAGGCATCTACAACAGACTTAACAGCCTCAGTCATAATATTCATGAGGTCAATTTCCTCCTGGGTGAGCCTCCTCCTCTTCTCACCTCTTCCCTCATTGTCCTTGTCATCAGAACCCTTAGAGCTCTACATACCAGTCTCAGTTCCCTTGCTAGAATCAGCCTAATTCCCACCCAACTCAGTAGTGTCCTCCTTACCATCTACATCACCTTGGCCAAGGTCAGTTGGTGTACCCAAAGGCTCATTTGAGCCAATGGCAAACTTGCCAGTGGAATGGTTACCACCAACTATAGCCTCCATCTGAGCATAGTTCTCTATAGGTGTGCTCAAGAACTTAGCATGAGCTGGGTGGCCCTAGTTAGTCAAATGGATACAACAATTAGCCATAGGGAAGCAAAAGACAAGTAGGGAGCAAAACAGAAGCAGGGATGGGATATATGATGTGTTAGCCAAACATGTCCTATCCTAGGTGTGGCCAATCAGGTATTCATCATCAAGGACTATCATTTGGTGGTCCTCATCCCAGAGAGCACCACTGTGGTCCTTCAGCCTAACAATCTTAACCCACCTTGTCCTCCATTTGCACAAGTGATTGTAAATCTACTGGGTGGTCACATTGACCCCAGCAAACTTAGAAACCATGCTAGCAACCTACCTAACATGCACCTCCTTGAAACCTTTATCAGTTTTGACCCCCTACCCAACTAGATCATGGAACCTCCTTAGCATGAACCCAGACTAGACAGGAGTCCAATGCATTGGGCCATTGGGTAGAGGGGCTGCAGGAATGCCATCCTCACCAAGAAGTAGCCCACCCTGATTTCCCACCACATTGTCCTCACCATCCACAATGTTAACAACCTGATCACCCAAGTTCTCCATTTCCTATCCACAACCAGCCAAACATTTAAAAAACCATGGCAGGATACATGAACAAATAGAAAGGAAGAAACGCATACATAAACAAAGTTGCAGGAACAAACAAGAGGGATCACACCACTATAAAGTGCCTTAGGTATCAGAAAATATTACAAGTTCCATCAATGCTACTAATCAGTACACATACCAGAAGTGCTAACATAGTTCATAGAGAGGGATTATAGTCTCGAATTTCCCCTGTGTTGCCACATCTAGGCAGCCCATGCATCCCTCTGTTGTGCCCAGGTACCATTGTCAGACACATGATCTGCCTGTGTGGCATTGTCATTGTTGTTAGGAGTCTAGGAAGATTCAGTTGGCACATGTTCATCCTGGCCATGTCTGAGGATCCAATTGTGTAGAATGCAACAAGCAAGAACAAGCTTTACTTGGGTTTTGTATTGGTGGAAAGGTTTGTTGTCCAGAATCCTGAACCTATTCTTCAATGCCCCAAAGGCGCTCTCTACTGTCACTCTAAGAGAGGAATGCCTCAGATTGAATAGCTCTATTTGGTTTTGAGGTCTGTTTGAACCAAACTCCCTCAAATGATGCATGGTGGCATGATATGGTGGCAAGAAACTAGGCCTCACTGCATATCCAGCAACCACAAGATTGAATTTGCGTAGAAATTTGAAGACAGGGACATGTTTTAGTAGTTTCATTTATGGTCATTTAATTTGCATTGGCTATGTGTGGTTTGGATGATACCTGGTGGGACTCTAAGGCCATCAGCTCTTTCCAGAGCATCAGACAATATAAGAGCATCATGTGCAGATCCCTCCCAACCAGCAAAAACATATATAGGTGAACCTCAGGTCAAAGTCCACTACAACCAAAACATTTTGTGTGATGGTATCCTTCCTGCCTCTAAAGGTAGCTTGCATCTTCACAGACACTCTAGCTAACACATGTGTCCCATCAATTGCTCCTATACAGTCCTAGATCAACAAAACATAAGTGGTAGTGAATATTGTCACTAACATATGGGTTAATTAATGATGACCTCATTAACATGTATGGGACACCAACCTTGAAATAGGGGTACCACCTTTTGCTCCCAAGGATCCTAGGATGGACATTGGTAGCATCAGGAGGGACAATCAATTCATTCCTCAACTCCCCTACTGCATACAACACCCTCTAAAAAAACCTACTAATAGTCTCTGCTGATCTCCTAAATGTGAGGTCAACAACTCTAAACCTCTCATTGTGACCAATAACATGCAAGAACATTACAACTTGTTCTTCAACAGATGCATGTATGCTATTAGTGACCAATTCTCTACTATGAAATAGGTCACACAGTTGGAAAAAAGGTTCCCTCTTCATCCTAAGAAGGTTTACACAATGAACATCATTAGATTCATATATGTATTTTAGGTTATTTATCCTCTGTTGGTCCCTCTCTGTCATAGGTCCATAGGTCACAGAGCGGGCATCTTCAGCTCTTCTTAAACCACATGAAAAACCACGCAGCCACTGCAACTACCATAGTAGCGGCTGCCCTGCACCTAGCTTGGAAGGTCTACCAATAGGATGGAGGATAACATTAGATATGAATCATGCACTTGTGGTGTATAAGAAGCGTGAGGAGAAGCTAAAGAAAGATATCGTTGACCTGAGGGATAAGGTCAGAGACTTTGGGTTTCGCAATGACTATCTCGATTGCAAGGTATTCAAGCTTGAGGACACTCTGGAGCACAAGAGATAGGGGGCCGTTCAAACCGATAACCAACGATCATACATACATGGCCATAATATATATATACTGGTGGAGCATAATAAAATACTTATTGATAGATAGGGGCGGAGCCAAGATTTGGACATAGGGGCCGTTCAAACCGATAACCAACGATCATGTCCGAGGATATACATAGATGGCCATAATATATATACTGGTGGAGCTAAAACTTTTTACATGCCTGTATGTTTCTTATTATGAAAAAATATTTATCTTATAGTGTTTCTCTTTTATGCAAATAAAAAATCCCTTTGCACTTCGCTCATGAGCCCGGCGGCTGCCCGGGGTCGCTGAGCGTTGGTTTAGCCACTACTGAGTATACAAACAACCAAATATATGGTTGTGTTACGATGCAAAAGAAATCTAAAAAATAAAAAAAGTGCACTAAATATTTTAGAGAAAAAAGAAAAATAATAATTAGTCCTAGGTCTTTAACGTTCACCTGATCAATCTAGCTCTTAGACAAAAAAAAAGAATCACAATAATAACATGAACAAAGAATGAAGATAAGAAAGATAACATGAAGACTAATTCTAAATAATATGAATGTTATTAGAGTTCAATTTAGCAAACAAGAAAACACTAATTATATTGGACAAACTAATTAGAGAGTGTACTGTGACGACGAACTAGATGTTTGTTAGGAAATAATAAATAAAAGGAACAAAAGTATGGATAAAATAATAAAAAGCCAAATTTTATTTATATAAGACGCTATTAGAGACGAATTCCTGAATACAAATAAGACCATTAACTACCAATCGAAACATTAAGTAGCTAATTAAGGGGGTGTAGGGCATTGCCACCTTCTCAATGGACACTTATTGAATTATCGTAATATAATAAGTATTCTTAAAATTTGGCTCGAGGAGACATCCAAAACTGTTTCTTTGGGTGCAACTATTCGCCCTATTCACTTGGGCTTAGTTTGGCTCATAAGCCATGGCTGAAAGTATTGTTGACTGATTTAGTATGAGAGAAAAATATTGTTTATTGGCTGAAAAAATACGGCTTATAAGCCAAACAAGCCCAAGCGAACAGGGCGATTGACCATTGTAACATAATAATAATAAATGGAAAAACCATATGTGACTATGTACTTATAATAATTTGTAAATGATGGGATCAGATGTTTTTAATTCTATCATGTAAAAGTAAAAACATATTTGAACAGTGTTGTTATCAAACATATTTTCTCTAAATAATCATGATTTTATTGTGGTAAAAATAAATAAATAAATATATGAAGCACGTATATATATTGAATTTTCACAGGATACAGAATGCACCGTACACATACAAATAGGAGTAAATCAACATGTACAAACAATTAATACAACGAATATATTTTTCTGTTCCACCAAATGAAAAAAGAGAAAAAAAATAAACGATATATACTAAATAAAAAATTATTTGAAGAAACCACACTACTTAAAATCTGTGGCGCAAATAATTAAACCAATTGCCAATCTAGTAAGATCAGATATTTTGCTTGATTGTCTTGCATGCAAAGCGCAGGCATGGATCATGCCCTTGTTTCCTTATTATTACTAGCACTTGGGCATGTTAGGAGGACGTGCCATCATTTGAGAGTCTGGGGTTTTGCCATTTTTCACAATGAACACAGTGTTCATGCCCCCACACCATGTGACGATCGAAGTGGCAATGCATAAACCACACACCTAATAAACAAGAAAAATAACAGCACAACACATATAAGAAAAAAAAAACTCCATATAACAACGCATATATATTACTGTAGTTCATCGTTGCAATGTTGCCCAAATTTAATTCAAATGCAGTTCTTACCAGGATTTGCGGCACGGAAGCGCATTGCAGCCCAGCCGCCAGGGGGCACGGATATGGTGTTCTGGTACGGCGGATCCACCAGGTTGTATGTGGCCGGGTCCTTGTCCTTGTCGAATTTACCGAACCCTCGGCCCACCACGTAGAAGCTGAAGCCGTGCAGGTGCATGGGGTGGCTCTCGGCGGTGAGGGCGTCCTGGAACACCACCTCCACCACGGTGCCGTACTCCAACACCTTCACCTTGGTGCCCCGCTTCATGAGCTGGAGCTCCTGCGGCAATTTGGAGGCGGTGAAGTTGAACAACAAGGGCGGCCTGTCGGGGAAGTCCGGCTCGTACACGCCACTGATGGAGTCGTAGTACGCGTCGAGGATGTCGACGGCCGGCGCCACGAAGCTGATGTTGTTCAGGCTTGCCGCGATGCGGCCGCCTAATAGGCCGCCGCATGTCTTGTTGGCCTCGCAGGGCAGGGTGCCGGCGGAGATTGTCACGAGCATGTCCTCGTCGACCACCATTGGCACATCGATCGGGTGCTCCTTAGTGACCAGGGACCGCAGCTGCGCTGTGTACGCTGTCGCCGCGGCGACATTGTGGACGCCCGGCAAGTCGGGGGAGTCCAGTGGCCCCGTGTAGGGTGGCGCGTCCGTGTACTCCAGAATGGCCGTGGTGATTTTTTCGTCGTACGGGAGTAGTCCTGCGTTGGTGAAGAACGGGCTCGTAGCCATGTAGTAGCGGCTGTTGTCGCCTGAACCGTTGGTGGCGCGGTTGGCCTCGAGGAACACATTCATGGTCTGCCCGGAGGAGATCATGATGTTGTCGACGGTGAACGGCTTGAGGTAGCGGCCATCGGTGCCGACCACCGTGAGGCGGTGCCCAGCGACGGCGAAGAACATGTCGGTGGTGAGCCCCGCGTTAATGATCCGGAGCAAGTACGTCTTGCCGTGCTCCACCGGCATCCTGAAGGTGTCGTTCTTGGAGCACGGGGCGTAGTCGCCGGGCTGGCCGTTGATGGTGTTGGCGTCGGAGACGTTGACGTCGCCGCCGGTCCGCTAGGCCTCCAGGAGAACTTGCTCCACGTCGGCGTTCCACCACTCGGCACTCGCCGAGGATGATGGGCACCTCCCCGTGCGGCATGGGGCACTACGTGAAAAACGGTTTGTAGCAACAGAACAAATTTTTTTAGGGGCAGCTGGTGATGGAGCCGTCCCTACAGTGGCATGCTCGGGAGCCCAGAGACCAGCCGCCCCTACAAATGGAACAGCAGGGGCGGCTGGTGATACGAGCCGCCCCTACAAATGGGTTTGATTTATAGAGACGGCTCACTCACCAGCCATCCCCGGTGTTTCTATTTGTAGGGGCAGCTCAATCACCAGCCGTCCTTACAAATGACTCTGACTATATATTGAGCACAGTCGAAAAATATCTTCAGAGTGTCTCTTCCCCTCCCCTCTCTTTCTGTCCTCTACGCTCTCTCCCCCTCCCGACGCGAGCAGTGGCCAGGGCGACGGCGGCTGGCACAAGCGGGCCTGCGGACGCTGCAGCCGCCCTCCTCTTCCTCCACGCCTCTCCCCCCTCGCGCCCCCTCCCCCCTTGCGCCGTAGGGGCGCGGCGACGGCGGCCCCGGCCAAGTCGCCGGTGCAGCGGGTGGTGGGTGGCCGCCCCTGGCTGTGGGGGGGGGGGGCAGCGGCTGCCATCCCTAGGCACGGCGCCTACCGGTGGTCGCCGGCTCGGTTGCCCCCGATGCAACATCTCGTCTGCTCCATGAAACCCTTGGTGCCTGTCTCTTCCTCTGCCTCTCCCTCTGTCTCGATCTCTCTCTCTCTCCGGATGTGCCTGTCTCTTCGTCTACTCCATGACGCTCCTCAAGGAGGCGAAGAAGTTGCGGTTGGCCTCCTCCTCTTCTCCGTCGGCTCAGACTCAGATATCTGCTTGCGGCGATGGCGTCGTTCTCGGAGGCTCCCCCTGGGAACCCCAAGGCGGACGAGAAGATCTTCAAGACCAAGTGCGCCCAGTGCTACACGGTCGAGAAGGGCGCCGGCCACAAGCAAGGTGAGCGACAACCCCCCTGCCGCGCCTTAGCGGATCAGATCTGAGCTCAGGTAGCCGTAGATGCAGATTTCTTTGTGTGGGAATGGTGCGCGTGGCGCTTAGATCTGTTCGATTGCTATGGGATTCGTGATAGGCCTTAGCGGATCAGATCTGAGCTCAGGCTAGTTCGTTTGCTTGTCTTGTTTTAGCATCAAAACGCCTGCGGTCTGGGTGGGTTGCTATGGCATCTCTTGTCTTGTTGTTTCACAGGAGCGCGCAGATTATAATAGAATTGATCAGGAAGCTGATGAATGGAGGGCTAAGCAAATAGCCAAGGACATTGCAAAGCGGAAGGTGCTTTCTCGTATTTGTGAAATTTGTTTCACAATTAAAGATATATTGCAGTAGGGCATCATTGTTGCTTCACAGCTAATGTATTCACTTTTGTACCTGTAAACCAGGTGGAAAGCATGCAGCAGATTGCTAGAAAGAAAGCAAATGAGGAAAGAAAGCGTCTAGAATCTGAGGTACCATGGAATAAAATTCCATGCCTAGGCTGTCCTGTGAAAGTTCTCTTCTCTAGGGTGTTTCAGAACTGTCTTTTACTAGTTGTGTGCAAGCGCATACCGCATACTACTGAACATTGATACAAACCAATGATTTTTTGTTTGTATAAGTTTAGTTGCAACATTTTAAGTCGTGCCTTTTTTATTCTTGTGACCTTTATCTAGTTTTCTTATTACTCTAGAAACCCTCTGATCTCTATACTTGTCTTAGTGCAAGCAATCTTCAGGGATATCATTCACCTATTTTCTTGTTTTTTTGGAGAGAGCTATCTTGCAATCAGTTCATGAAGAATTGAGTAGTCATTCGAATTTCTTTATACTTTAATCTACTAATGATTCTGTGGACGTTTTTGAGTTAATAGTATCATCATAATATTCTTTATCCTGAATAAGATAATTTTCCCAATTGGCAATTTGAAATCTGGTACTTCCAGCTGGAGCTTGCCCTAATGGTCGAGAAACTCCAGGAGCTTCGGTCTATAAGAGTTCAAAAAATGAAGAAACAAGGTAAGATATTCTTATTTTCCTATTTATTTATTTACATTCTCTGTTTTACAAAATATGTTCTGTACATGAATGAGTTGTATTATCTAGAAAATAATTAATAATTGGATTATTTTGTATTTAGTTAATAAATATATTAGTACTTAATCATTCATGTTATTATTGTGCCTTGAAAGCATGGGCAGTGGCGGGAAAAATTATGGTGCCTACTGACTAGACTTTATTTTCCTAGTTGACTTACACAGTGAAACAACAATTCCCATGATGGACTTTTACTAAAGTGAAGAGATGGGTTATCATTGTGTTTTTCTGACCTTAAATACTATGTTATTCATATTCTGGCATTTTGCATGCTGAAGGCTGAACCGCTGAAGCACATATGCCTGTAATGATCCTTTTCTCTTTTTAAGAGAAGAGGATGTCATATCCATTTGGCAATACAAATCTGCTCCTACCTGTGTATGATCCCACTAGCACAAACTTTTTGGAATCACAGAGGGCTCCTGTCTCTGCAAGACTGCAAACTTTTCTTTTTCCGTTGGTGGTGTTGATTTTCCCTTTTTTATTTTGTTCAGTGTAAATACAAGAGATGGATATATGAGTTTCTTTTTATGTTAAATGTTTTAGGTCATTTTCTTCCTGAAGAGGATGATAAATACCTCGAGCGTGTTAAGGCTGCAGTCGAGGAAGAGGAGCGCCAAGCTGCATCTGCTGCTCGAACTGATGCTGTTAAGGATGCTATTCTGACTGCTGAGGAATCAAGGAAGCCTCCACAGAATGCCAATTCTCAAGAAGGTGGTGTAAATCAGAGAAATACAAACTAGGCTTCGTAACCTAACAAATAACCTGATAATTTTCACTTCATGGCATGGGCAATTACTCAATATACCTACTCAATCAACTTGTCTTTATATTGTCTCTGTTGTAGGTCCGTAGAATGTGGGATTCGTTCATCAGACCTGGAGGAAGGTAAGACTTCTACTTGTTCGTACAATTTCTTCCAAGTTAGCTTAGATGCATTAAGCAAGCATTTCTGTAAGTATTTTCAAGTTTCTGTGCAATTATGGTTTGTGATCTTGTTTAGTTAACCGTAACAAGATGAAAGGAAGGTTAACCTCGTGAGGAGTTTATTGTGAAATAGCATCTATTTTTTTCTCGATCGGATCTTTTATCCGTTTTTCATTAAGAGGAAAGGCCATAAGAAAGGCCAAAATACGGATACAAAAGACTCCCAAGTAATCTAAGGATTACCGACGGAATCCCAAAGACACAAACGAACAGTAAAAAAACAGGAGGTGAACCTCCACCACAACAGACCAACTGACTATGCCTGCCATGAAAAATACATCCGTGCAATGGTCGCCAACAGAGGGTGGGTGAAGCCGTGGTGGCAAAGCATCCACCGGTAGAAAGCACAGCATCCATCCGCAAGCGACCAGGTAGCTGCTACGGAGAGCACAGTATTCATCCACAAAGCGACCAGGTAGCCGCTGCGAAGGAGAAGGCGACAATGTCCGCCAGCGACCAGGTAGCCGCTGCGAACAAGAAGGCGACCGTATCCGTCAGCGACTAGGTAGCCACTGCGAAGAAGAACAAGTATCCGCCAGCGACCAGGTAGCCGCTGCGAAGAAGGCGACGTATCCGCCAGCGACCAGGTAGCCGCTGCGAAGAAATACACGACTGCGGCAACACCAACACCCGAGATAAACAGACCAAAGCGAAGATGAGCTTGAAGCACACAGAGGCATAGCAGACGACGGAGCGGCTCCGGCAAGAGTAGCGTAAGGCGTGCTGCAGAAGTGCACCAGCGATGCCTTCAAGAAGGATATTGACATCCACGGACGCCAACATCGCTGGAGAAGCACACGGGTAGGTCTTTCAACCCTAACCTACCCCGGAACACCAAAATCATCGACAACGCCTTCAGGAAGGTAAATGGCGCATGATGCGTCACCGTCGTTGGCCTGGTTCCACGGAGGAACCGGGCGGGTTTACACCCCGACTCTGGACATCCACGAGAGCAGGCCCCATGGCACCCACAATGGCGGCACCACACCAACAGAACCAAGGCACAGCCGCCGGCCGAAGCCCTGACCGGCCAGATCTGGCCGCTGGCCCTTGCCCTGCCACGGTCCCACCCAGAGAAGCAGGAGCAAGCCGGGGACTTGGCGAGGACACCCACCGTCAACTGACTCTCCCGCCGGCCGCCAGATCAGCGAGTTCGGACGCGTTGCCACATCCACCTAGCCCAGCAATGTTTGGGCCCAGGGGTGCGTCGTGGTGCAGTAGCCGGCCATCAACGGTGCTGCGTCAACGGCCAGCACGCACACCGGTGGCCGCGGCCTTTCACCCAACGCGTGCCGAATCTGTGGCATCGGTCGCTGGATCCGAGGCCAGCGGGCCCGGATCTGGAGCATCCCACCCGCCGCGACCGTCCTTGCTGCCGAAAAGCTGCTGGTCGCCGCCAACCCTGGCCCCAGGCGCGACGAGCCAGGAGCACGCTCCAGAAGGTGTAGCCGCCAGATCCGGCCCTAGGGAGCCAAGATCCGGCCAGCCGGCCGCGCTACCTCACCGGAGAAGGGGGGTGAGATGGGGAGGTGGAGGAGTGAGGGGGAGGGAGGGAGCAGGAGGGGCTGTGGACGGCTCCAAATTTTCGGGGTCGCCGCAGGCCGCCGCCGCCGCACACCGGAGGGCGACGACGGCGGCCAGGGGGGAAGGCGGGGAGGGGGGCCCTGGGGCGGCGCTGGTGTGGTCGCCCCCGAGTCGCCTCGCTCGGGGAGACGACGCGGGGGGAGTGCAAAAAAGAAATTGCTCGAAATAGCATCTATTGACCATTATTATGGTCTAGACTCTAGGTTAGGAATCGCACTTGAAAAAAGGTGCATCTTTGTTGGTCAATGCATGCTGTTTGGAATGGAGTTATTCCAATTTGGAGGAAACAGAATGGACTCCAAAGGAGTTTTGCCTATTCCTGTGAAAGAACTATGTTTTGCTCCAAACAGGCATAATATATTATTCTTCATCTTGAAGTAAAAACACAGATCTAACCCGTCTTCTAGGTGTTCAATTGCATCGATGTTGATGCATTGTTGTGTTTTCAACTTTCAAGTCAGATACACTTACGATAGCTTTTATCTTATTGCTGCTGGAAAAAATATAATTTAGCATGACCATTCATTGCTTTTGCTCGCGTGCAAGTATGAAGAAGTGAGCGTACCGGTGGTCGAGGATCTGATCTTAATCTGTGATCGCGCCTACACAAGGGCTGATATTCTTGAAATGGTAAAAAATGTGCTGCATGTTGATTTTTAGTGCAAAAAAAACAGATAACTGACATTGAAATCTCTGCAGGAGAGGAGGATAGTGAACACACTTAATTTCAATATGTCGGTGCCGACTCCATACTGTTTCATGAGAAGGTTTCTAAAGGTAGCACAATCTGAGAATAAGGTAAGATACTAATACATACTCCTGTTTTTGTGATCAATAAATCATGTAAGCTATAGGTTTGTTGTACAAGTACATAAACCCTGACAAAATCTTTATACTACTAGACAGCTCGAACTCCTGTCTTTCTTCATGATCGAGCTGAGTCTTGTCGAATACGAGATGCTCCAGTTCTGCCCGTCTATGCTAGCAGCTGCTGCCATCTACACAGCTCAATGCACCATGCTTGCATGGTCTTTTTTTATATAGATATATGTTTTATTGTCATAATATGAGTCTGTTTGTTATTATTGTGATTCTTGTACTATAGAAGATGTTTAGAAACTTTTGGCTAAACAATCTTGTTTGGGCCACAATACTACAGTCAAGTTTGCCATGATACTTGATCATGTATTTTACTCGTCACAGGATGATTTGGGGGAGCACGTGTTGGTAATTTGAATTTTTTTTTGCGAAAAAATATACTGTAGGGACGGTTGGTACTGTAGCCACCCCTATAAATCGATTTGTAGAGATGGTATGGTAGGGGCGGCTGGCCGAACCGCCCCTACAAATACTCATTAGCCGTCCTTGAAAATCATATCTGACGTAGTGGGGTAAAGGTAGTCGGGGCTGATGACGATGGCGCCGTGCACGGTGGCGCGGTCGTAGTCGCTGTGCGCATGCCACCACAGCGTGCCCTCCTCCTCGGTGAAGATGATGCGGTAGGTGGTGGAGCTGGCACCGGGCTGGATGGGGCACTGCGTGATGTACTCCAGCCCGTCGGACAACGGGTTCCGCGGCTGGTCCACGCCGTTCCAGTGGAAGGTGATGTTCTTGCTGCCCTGGTTGCACACGTTCACCACCACCACGTCGCCCTTGCGCGCGTAGATGGTCGGCCCGGGGAACTGCCCGTTCACGGCCAGGATGGTCTTCTCGTGGCACAGCCGGGTGACCTTCGTCTCCTTTATCTGCAAAAAAAAAAAAAGAGTTGATCACACGCCGGCCGCCGTTATTATTATATATATTATTAGCCGTTGTAAGTCTACCTAGTGGTAATATAATTAAGTCGTAGTGAGTCTCCGGGCTAGCTGCAGCAACTCCAAAGGCTGACACCACGCCTAGCAGTAACCAGCAGAGCCCTGCAGCTGTCATCTTAGCTACACCGCCCATTGTCTCGATCGGACGTTTGGTTGCCCAAGGAGCATGCAGCGAGCGATCGGGAATGCAATGCAAAGGCTTGCTAGCTTCTGCAATGTGCGCTCGATCGGCTCCGTGCGTTGCTGCGAACACGATGCTCATCTGCAGCGGATACCGCAAGTATATTTATAGAGCGAGCTGCCAATGCAACGACGAGGGATGCAGTATCATTAATTAGTTAATTATTCACCCACCATATATCCAATCGATAACTTCGAATGATTGGTCTTGGCCGCCGCGCGTTGCAACGGAAATTTTGTAATACTACAAAGGCCGTGTTAGAAGTAGAGAGCGAGAGATACAAATGATCATATGTTGTATTCCTAATGAATTATATATATATATATATATATATATATATATATATATATAGGGTTCACGTAGACGGTTACAAGTGTGAAAGAAAGAGAGGTGAAAAGACACCCCTTGGATTAATCTCTAATTGATCACTAAATAATAATTCTTAACACTCCCCTTGATCAATTAACTCCTTATAATCTTCATTGTTCGCCTATTATGCATCTTTATGAATCTTTGGAAAACCCTGTGGGAAAAACCAAAGTAATACTGGTATACCAGGCAAAACTCCTTAAAACTCAGTGTGAAAAATAAGGAGAAAACACCATGATATAGAATCACCAATGTTATTAGACCCTTTGAGATAAACTCAAAGCCTTAGTCTAAAAACACCTTGACCATAGGGTCAATATGCTTCAAATATCATCTTTCAAAAACCCCGGTGGGGAAAACTAGATGATATAGCATATACCTTTGTGTTGACATTGCCTCATCAAAAACTTTATATCAGAAATCTCAAAAGGGAAAACTCACATAAAAAAAAAGAGTACAATGCATCTTATATCCCAATATCATCCATCAAAAATTTCTGTGGGGAAAAATGGATGATATGACATAACCTTGTGTTGATATTGCCTCATTAAAAACTTTATATGAGAAACCCAAAGGAAAAAAAACTCATACAAAGAAAAGAGTGCAATATGATGTTTGCAACAAGTTATTAATCGGAGAGACTCTCCCTCTAATATTAGCAAACCTCGAAGTAAATTCATACCAATGCACTCAATACATAAGAAATGTGGAGTATGGTAGACTTTATGAATATATTTACGAGATTATCAGAAGACTTAGTTTGCAAATGTTCTAATGCCCATATTACCTATGGAATAGAACCATCTTAGTGCAAAATATTACATTAAATATAATTTGTCTCCATCTACACAACATAAGTTGCATTACCTTTATTGATAATGACTATTGATTCATAGAATCAACACCATATAACTTCAATATGTGATATATCATTCTGTCAAGCTATACACATTCATGTGAAGCCTTACACAATACAATGTCAGAATGATTAATGGAATTGACCACTAAATGTCTATTTAAAGACTATCACAAAATGGTCTTTCCATATCTATGTAATATTTCAATGATCTGGAATTTGGGGATCTTATAGATAACTAGAATCATTATATCCACATAATTGGATCATGGATTACACCAGAACCACATGTGCTATTTAAGATATCAAAAGATATTATTAACTTCAATCCACCAACATTTGGTAGGAGTAGCGTTGCTACTAGATAGCAAATCATTGCAAAAATAATATTCGGCCGGAAACTTTTGCAAGATTTGTTAGCGCATAAATAGCACGGAGATAATGGACCACATGTCCCCATATCTCATCTCAATAACTATGGTATAAAACAATCTTCCTTTATCATGAGGTAGAACAACCATAGGATACCTTCATATTGAATCGCTCAATATGATCTGGATATAGATAGGTTTTGTACAAAATCATGAGAGAAGATGCTTGGATCATAAACACAAAATGAAATTTTGGTTTAGTCCGTATCTTCCATCTCAAACTCTGTCTTTAGATTACTACGTGCTATTAACATGTGTTCATCACCAATGATGTCAAGATTGTTGACCATCATATAACACTATGAAATCCAATCAAGGACTCTAAAATGAACACCATGTGTAATCAATCTTGTATCCCTTCAGTTTAAGGAATATACACAAAGTCGATTGTACCAAATTCGACTTAACTGCTTTAAGCCATATATCAACTTAAGCAATACACAATATGTGTTGCGATTTTATGTATGAGGGTTGGGTATGTGAACTCCTTCCTGAAATCTTCACAAATACACCAAATCAAGTGATCATATAAATATATGCAATCACTACATCTATCAACTATCAACTGCAACGATAGATGCTTTTGTACTGCTAATTAAAAGATAGTATCAAAAATTTATAACTTACTATGGAGAAAATTTTGCATTGAAAATCAATGTCTGGACTTTGCATAAACCCCTTGTGCTACTAGTCTTGCTTTGATCTCACCACCACATCGTTCTCAATCCATTCTAGGACAAAAACACTTTTGTACCCACAGTAAAGGTACCATGAGGTGTTGGCATCACAGCCCAAAATACCACTTTTCTAGTGAGCAAGACTATCTCTGCATGTATTACATCACTCAACAAGTTCCAGTAAGAGTGAGCAAACCACTCTGTCATGGTCTTATTGACTGGATGACTTGGAATGTTGTATATAGTTTATTCAGAGAAGTATGTGTCAACACATGTAGCCTTTCTATGATATAATTCTCCGGTTATCAAAACTCAAAGTACCCTGAATGACTTATCGTGACTTCCCAAAACGAGAATCAGGGCTTTCCAATATCCTAGCATCAGCATTTAGGTGCACCTTTGAGCTAGGTTTGTGGATGACATCCATCCACTGGGTAATAACCAATATTTACCCACAAGGTGTCGCCAACCATAGGTTGACATGCATTTACTGTCTTAGAAGGAAAACCTTCTATTGCTAGCATGAATAATCCTGCTTTATGGCCATACTTCTCCACCTCTTATTTTCAGTTGGGAGTTGAGTGGTTTTACTTGGTACAACCACTCTTTTATCACATACTTGCAACGGATTAACAGGTTTAAAAGACACCTTAGTAATCAGTAAATGCATTTCGTAGTTTATTTGCAATATTTTGCAAATCAACAATTCTTTGAACTCAACATTTAGTATGTGATCCTAAGCTTGAAATGCCTTATGCATTCCAAATAATTTCCTAGCATTATGTATGGTACATCAAATCTCCCCCTAATGCCTAGAAATGCTCATTATCAAACTACAACCAGCGTATGAGGCCGTAAATAGATCCTCTATAAGAGGTCCTAGATACTTAACAATCGACGGAGATTGAAATCTCACATTGATCCCTAGTTTCATCTGTGTGCCCATCAATTTACGTTGCGGTGGTGAGATTGGTACGTATACAACGTAAACCAATCTTACGTAAATAGGAAATCATCATGGATTCCCACGTACTAAATGCATATAGGGGATATGCAGTTAAACTCAAATCAAGAGTGTGTAAATCTACCTGACCCCAACACGAAGTTGGCAAATAGCAATTCATTAACAATGGTCCTGCTATGACCTTGTCATACTTTATAGATTCCATTTATCCCTTTGGATATGTAACTAAATTCTTTTATACCAAACAATAGTCATTGTAGGCACAAAAATTCAGTAGTGTTCAGGATAATGAGCTCACAACATGAGCCATTATTTACCAAATGCATGGCTGAATGTGGATACTTCACACACTCTAGATCATCTTATAGATGTATCTTCACAACCATGAAATGCCTGAACTGTCCATACAATCTTTGTATCGGACCCATATATATTCTCTTGAATATGATAAAGGAATCTAAGACACTCAATCTGATTTTAAGATAAGAGGGTCTTAAAATCTATTTCCCTTGTGACACTTATCTTATCCACACTTTGGGAAAATCTTGACCAAAAGAATTGCCAATAATTTTTACCTCATCCCATATGATGGCCAAGTTGTTCATTCCAAATATGGAATGCATCAACACTGTGAAAAATTATCTTACACGCAACATGTTGTACGGGGATGGTTGTATGCATAATACAACCAAAATGAGACTTATCTCATTACTTATATGTCATATCCAATGTTGTCTTTTTGTGTTCACATATGAAAACACATTTGGATATCTCTATAATTTAGTAAGATACGAGTTGAATTCGGACATAATTAAATATCCTCAATTGATAACTCAGTATCTAAGGAAGAATGATAGTGGCAAAATAGGCCAAACAATCATTGCATCGCATCAGCGATGGCCAAAATATTCCCTCTTCTTGTCATAAGAACCAGGAACATTTTGCTTCCCTAGTTATAGAGTTTGTGGTACAAATACCCACTAGCCACATATCATTCCACATTGGAATGATTCCCGTACAATCTATATATGACAAGAGTTTAATGAAATTCTCGTCTAATATATAGAAATCCATAAATATTACCGAGTATCAAATACATTAATATGATACCCACAATAGTTATGCGTTGGCAACACAAATATTACATCTTCAATGAACATTATCACATATTATCAACGGACGATGAGATTATCCTAAATCTCAAAACAAATCATTCGAAGCATATTCGATGATCATGTTGTCCATCTATGTGATGTTCTCTTTACGAGAAAAGGAGAAGTGTTGTTATGTGATCCTATAAGGTCCAGCATAAACAACTAACCTCATATATGGCTTTAGATTTTAAGATTGAAGCACCCTCCGTATCTTATTTCTGTAGCTCTTGTTTCATCCCTTATAGAATGTTGATATAGATCAACTACAAATTTAAGAGTGTGGCATTGTTTAGCGTTATGCTAAACACAACCACATATATGACATTACTCTTTGTCATTCTTGGGTTCACATTGCCATCACTCATATTGCACATTATGCCTTTTGCTTTTACTAGTGAAAGCAAATTGTATGAACAATATGATCATAGTCTTCAATAGTTTGAAAAACTAGAGACATGATCCACTCATGATTAGCCTCAAGCTATATGAGTTTTCTTTATT